ATGGTGGGTGAGAAGGTTCTTCTACGAGTGTCGTATGTGAAGGGCGTGATGCGGTTTGGGAAGAATGGCAAGTTGAGCCAGAGATTAATTGGCCTTTTGAGATCTTAGAGAGGGTTGGGAAGTTGCTTATAGGCTTGCATTGCCTCCTAGCCTAGCAGGGGTACATCCAGTATTTTACGTTTCCATTCTTCGAAGTGCCACGAGGATAGATTATATGTTTTGGACGTCAGCACGGTTTAACTCGAAGAGAATTTGACCTATGAGGAAGAGCTGGTAGTTATTCTAGACCGACAGGTTTGAAAGTTGAGATCTAATACTTTCCTTCTGTAAAAATGAAATGGAGAGGTCAGCCAATTGAGGAGGCTACATGGGAGTCCGAGTCCGACATGAAAAATAGATACCCCCACCTTTTTACTAGCCCAAAGACTTTTTATGTCCGTTCGAGGACGAATGTTGCTTTTAGAGGTGGAGAATGTGATGACTCTATAGGTCGTTTTTAGTACTAGCCTTAATTTTTGTGTTTCGAGACCTCTCTTAGCTTCATTTGATATTTCTTGATTTGAGTGTGTGGTTCGTGTCGCTTTTCAGAAAGCTTTTGTGTAAAATTTGAGGAAAAGTGATTTTTGACTTAAAATAAGGTTTGGGTTTACCATGGTCAATATTTTTGATAAAAGGCCCCGGATCAGTATTTTGACAATTACGGTAGGTTTGTATGATATTTTTTGTACGCATGTTTGGTTGGGGTCCCGGGTGACCGAGTGTATTTTGGCAAATTGTGTGAAAGATTGTGAAAATGAGTTTTCAAGTTGAAATCTTAAGTTTTTATGATTGATTCTTATTATTTGATGTTATTTTGATGATTTGAGTTAACGAGAGAGTTTATATAATGTGATTACACTTTTATGCATGTTTGTTTGGAGTCCGGGGGGCTCAGGTGAGTTTTAGACGAGTTTTGGTTGAAATTGGAATTGTTGGTGCTAGACTGTTGCTGGTGTAGCCTTTAGATCTCACATTTGCGAGGTCTGGCTTGCATTTACGAGCAGCTCTTTGGTGATCAAAGGATCGCATTTGCGATGAGGCTGGGATTGGAGAACTTTGCATTTGTGAAGAAGGAGCCGCATTTACAAAGGCTGGGAAATCGCAAATGTGGCCGGAGTCTCGCATTTGCGACTCTAACAGCTTAGGGAGAAGTTTCGCATTTGCGGAGGGATGGACCTTCGCAAATGCGAAAGATTTTTTGCATTTGCGATACTTCTGACGCTCAGACACTGATCACAATTGCGATTAGTGGTTCATAATTGTGATACCTGCAGCTGGGTAAAAGATAAAAATGTCAGGACTTTGCTCATTTTACACCATTTTCCAACCATAAACTCTATAGAAGCGATTTTCTTGAGAGCTTTTCTCCTCAAAATCATTTGTAAGTAACTTTAATTTGTTTTCCATTATTCCAAAATACCTTTTCATGAATTTTAAAATCAAATCTATGAATCTTATGGTAGAAATTAGGGGTTTGGGGTATAATTTAGGGACATTATGAAATTGGGATATGGACCTCAAATTAAGGTCGAATTTTGAAACAAATCACATGACCGGGCTTGGGGTTAAATGGATAATCGAGATTTGGTCCGAATCTCAGATTTTGAACAAGGGAGAGCAGGGTTGACTTTTGTTGACTTTTTTAGTTTAGCTAAATATTGAACTTTTTTCATTCGTGGATAGTTTTTAAAGCTTATTTTGGATTATTTGATGAATAATCGGCTAGATCCGGTTGGTTTGGAGGCTTGTTCAAAAGGAAAATTCGTGGTTGATTATTGATTTGATAGGTAAGTGTCATATTTAACTTTGACTAGAGGGAATTAGGACTGTTGGTCTATTTACCACGTGAATTATATGTGGGGATGATATATATATATATATATATATATATATATATATATATGCGGTGACGAGTGTATATGCATTGTCATGGGTTTAAGCACGCGGATTGGGCTATTTACCTTTATGTTGTTATTTATTCCATGTTATATCTCGTTACATGCTTTGATAAATATCCTTACTTGTTATTCATGTCTTACTTGCTATCTGTCATTTAATTGTTACATGCTTCGATTTATTCATTTATCGCTCAATATCTGCTTACCTGCTATATGTTCCTACATGTATTAATTGTATATCTGCATTGTCTCTTGTCTTTACTTGCTTTTATTTCCTTTTATCTTACTTGTTGCACTTTATTATGTGCTATCCGATTGTGTGAGTGCTTTAGCTACTCTTGTATTAATGAATTATCGAGGTTTGTGAATATGAGGTATTAGTTATTCTCTTTTGGTACTGGTAGCTCCTTGATGTTTTATACGCTTAGTTTCTTTTGTGCTGAGATTACGAAATTTGGTTGTGTTGAGTTGTTTATGTTAGTGAGTTGATATTGGGAAGGGGTTACACGCCGCAACAGTATTGGAATGAATTGATAATGGGAACGGGTTGTATGTCGCAACAGATATTGATATAATATTGGGATCGAATTACGCTGCAACAAATATTGGATTTATATTGTGCGACAGAGTATGATGTGTTGTAACTGCTTATAGCTGGGGTGTTCTATTTATGTACTGTGATATAAGGTCATGAGTTGATATTATTCTGGGGCCCACTGTTAGTTGACCTTCTAGTCCTGTTATTATGAGTTTATTTGCTTTCCCTATATTTTTGTTCTTTTATTATTATTTGTACAGGTTATAGTGAGCATCTTATCATATCCTAGTCACTACTTCGTCGATGTTAGACACAACACTTACAGAGTACATGAGGTTGATTGGACTCATACTATACTTATGCACTTCTTGTGCAGATTCAGGTGTTGGTCCTAGCGACGCGTAGGGGTGATTGCTCGGATCCGACTTCTTCAGGAGATTTGAGATAGAGTTGCACGGCGTTCGTAGTCCCTGAAATCTCCTTCTATCTTGTTTTACTGTTTATCTAGTTTCAGACAATTATATTTCATTTCTGACCACGTTTGTAATATTCTAGATAGTCATGTACTTGTGACTCCAGATTTTTTGGCTTAGTATAGACTGCGTTACTTATGTAATTATTTCACGTATTTCAGAGTTAATCAGTCGTTAATTATTACTATTTTGCATTTAAACTGTTAAAAAATGGTTAGTTCTTTAGCTAACGTTGGTTTGTCTGGCAAGTGAATGTTAGGCGCCATCACGACCCCGTGGTTGGGATTTCAGGTCGTGACAGCACCATTAATTTTATGTAAATTATCTCAAGCCAAGACGACCAAGAGTTTGCAATCAGCCTGTTCAGCTAGCTTTGGATCGATTTGGTTTGAGCAACTATATGAAACAAGTGCAAAAAGGAGGGAAAATATCTAAAAAGACAATTAGATCTAAGAGAAGCAACCTTTAAAGCTTTTCCTATATGAAAACATAGGACATAAGAGGAAGCTTAGACCAATTAGATAGTATAAAAGAGTTTGAAATTACGGCACCAATGAATGTCAGAAAGAGTGAAATAAAAAACCTTGATAGGTACTATATATTTGAAAATTCAAGTAGTGGAAATAAAATCATGACAAAGGGAAAAGAATTGGGTGAATTACTATGAAGCGATTTTGAACTCAGTCCATAAAGAGCCAAAGAGCCTTCAGATCTTGCTATAAACAAGTACACCAATCGGTTGCTTGTGCTGCTGGGTGCCCTCTTGGGCTTCATAATAATTATCTGAAAAAGATGAACTAATTACAGTGTCTTAGCCTAGGGTGGATGGGCGCACGTGCACCGCAAACCACCACATGGATCCGCCACTGGTCCCAACTTGTCATTTTTAATGCATTCCTCCTATCTCAATTTATGTCTATCCATTTATCTATAAAATTATTAAAAGATGTAAAAATATTCCTACTTTTTATTTGGAGCACAAATAGTCCTCATTGTTTGCCAAAGCAGTGCATTTTTTTTCTCTACCCAACGGGCAGTAACTTTTTAACCGGAGAGAGCTGCTGGTCGTGATGTTTTACCCCACTAAACCCCATATCTGTTTTGATTGTTTCTTTAGAGTGGGAAAGTTATTTCTGAAGTTGTACGTCATAATTGATGTTACAGTCAAACCTCTATATAACAGTTATCCTCTGTAATAGCACTTCACTATAATGGTCAAATTTTCTTTGGAACTAATTTTTTATATTATATTATAATATATATTCTTTATAATAGTACTTCATTATAGTAGCCATAAGTTTTGGAATAAATAAGACTGATATAGAGAGGTTTACTGTATATTGCAGCCTCAATAATCCTTTTATTTGTTCTTTCTTATGAATTACCTGCCGTTTTAACAGTTCAGGTCTTACTCAACAAGCATCATGGATTGCACGCAGTCATCAACAAATTTGCTTCCTTTTGAAACACTCAGGTCTTCACTGAGCACATGAATTCGACATCATCCATCCATTATGGGATTTCTAATTTACCTTAAGTTTTACATTTTTGAATGAATAATCATATTTAACATTGCCTCTGGAACTATTCATTAGTCTCAACAAGCATCATACTCTTAGTAGCAGTTAGAGGATACTCCATTATGCTTCATTAAGACAACTTGTATGTGATTCATTCTACTCACCTGGAATAACAGATCTTTTTATTCTTTACTATTTTTTAAAAATATTCTTTACTATGCCGCAATAGTTGATGCTCAGTAATCGAGGTAGAAGTACCTCGCTAATTAAAGCATGATTTCGACCTCTAGTTCCAGGGATTTGGTTTTTATTTACTTTGTTTTACAGCATCAAGTCTGTGCAAATGAGATAGTTTCTTTGCATAAATGACTATATACAAAGAGTAAGACACCAGAGCTAGGTCTCTCGAATCGGAAGAGAAGAGGCATAGACTAAAATATCATGTGACCGCAACCCATTAGCTGCTCTCAGTTAAAAAAAAAAAAACTCCCGCGGTCCCAACTTATGAGACACCGTTTGACTAGGCATGAAGTTTAAGAAAGAAAGTTAAACGTTTGAAACTTGTGATTTAAAACAAGTCTTACATAATTGTATGGCTATAAATCATCTAGTCAAGGGTAAGAAGGGAACATACATGATATAAAGTGTTTCACCAATCTTTGAGCAATTCACCAGCTACGTCCTTATAGCTAACTTTCTTTTTCTTTTTAGGACTAGGATTAGCATCTGCCTCTGGTTTGTCGTCTTTTACAAGACTGTCCACACTATGGCTTGGCTTACCATCCAGCTGGGGTATCATATGCAATAACATAGCTTGGACTGGATCAACAGGGTCTTCCAGCTTACCACTGGCAATATTTGCACTTTCATATGAAGTTTCGTGAGCTTCGTCCAATCTTTCACGGCTCCTACTGCATTCAGAAGTGCCTTGTGGAAATGTTTCACCATGTGGTGACAATTCCAAATCATCTGCAACATCCTTGTTCTGAATTCCTGAGCCATGCTCTCCAACATTTTCAGGACTTCCACGAGTCCCAGCAGCCCCTTCACTCTCATCATTATGAAGGTGCTCACCTGAAGTGGCACTTTCATCAGATTCATTTTCATGAATCTTAGCACGTCTATTTGTGGCCTTGCGCCTAACTCTCCATGGCATGTTGATTGCTGGTTTTGCTTTTGCTGTAGCAGTACCAGTAGGTCTTAATCTATTTCTCTTTCTATCCCCCTTAGGTAGCGTGATGGCTTGGCACTGTTCTGAAATTCCTTCTGCTTTGATTTGTACTCCGTGATTATCAGGGGAAGATGCTCTTTTGCACTTTACGGCTTTTCCTCTTACCTTATCATGTCTATTAAATCAGAGAAAACATCAGCACCGAGTAAATTGGCTAAACACAACAAAATGCCAGCAAAGGAAAAGGTCATGCATGCTTGAATTTACTAGCAGAAGTTTCTGCATTTCTAGCTTTCCTAGGAAAATAATTTTTATAGCAAAGCTAGTAAGTTCAAGTATGAGAAGATGAATATGTACAAATTATAGGACAAAAGATAGGTAATTTGGTTGCAGGAATCTCGTTGCTAGGACTGCATTTCTCAATTAATTGACTCTTTGTTATGGACATAAATATCCTCCATCCTTCTTCACTTTTGACACACAATTTCCAGGCACAAAATCCACCTATATTGGAAAAAGAATCCTACGTTGGATATACTATTCCATACTTTTCCATCAGATCCGAGAATAACTCGAATATTCAAGGATTTGTCTGTCATTCATCGTTATCAGGAGGAACATCCATCTATCTCATCCTTTATTGGGTGAATCATTCCTCCTATTTACTCAAATGTCATTTATTGTTATTCATTGTTACTGAATGCTACATTATTGCTCGTACTTTCTAGAACAGTTACTGCATGTTATTATCTCTATCTGACCGAACCCCTCTAATATTCATTGCACGCTTGAAAGCTTCATCTATAGATATTATTGTTAATTAAGTTTAACCCCTAATTACATAAATTTAATTATTTGAACCAAGATCCGTACTTTTTGGTCAAACACAGGGCTCGTACTATCCACAGCTCAATATTACTTCCCAATAGTTGGTTCTTTAGCATACCAATTAAGTATTTTTCAATTCTCGCCCAAGTGCTAGTAAGACCCAACGTGGATTTTTCTATCGGCATACAATTACTTCTTCCTATTGGCAGATGCAATTACTGCTGCTTCTTATCAACATCAGCAGCAGCGGCATGCATATTATCTCTTAATAATCTTTACCAGCATTATATTATTATCATTATTATTATACTCTACTCTGTATATTATTATACTCTATTCCATATAAAGTCAAACACTATAATATAAAGTCTCATTCCTATCCAACGTATCAATTGCCTATTATACTAACATAATCTTTATTTTCATTATACTATTATCATTATAATTATACTCTACTCCGTATACAGTCAAACTATATCATATAAAATGTGAGGGGTCTCATTCTTACCTTTATACTTATCTGCCCATATTTTTCGCTTATCGACTGCCTATTTGACCAATTTTGGAGCTAAATTGGATTAAGATTAATTCATTTTCCAAAAACTAAAATATACATATCCAAAAACTGCATGACACATACTATACATCGGAATTTTACTTGCATAAGAAAGACGACAGGACATATTTTAGAATGGGAGAAGCGACAAACATTTTGGAAAGAAGAATCTTCCTACATGTTATTTAGTAGGTAACGGGTAGCATATCTGCATAACGAGCAAAGGAGCTTCCTTTATCAAAAAAGAAAAAAAAAATAACCAACCTAAGGAGCTTCCCTCAAGTATGGCTGTTGGCATATCCTCACCCCCCCCCCCCCC